ACACACACACACACACACACACACACACACACACACACACACACACAGAGGAAGCTTTGCATTCTGTGACAATGTAATTGAGATAAGACTTCCAGAGTAGTCTCCTACACCTGAAGGCATCTCAAAGCCTTCTGTCACACACACACACACACACACACACCTTTCCATATCCACTTACTTTTTAAAGCCTGGATCAACGCCTTGCCGTCTTTGATCAGCTCCTTGATGAACTTGTTGGTCTTGTCCAGCTCCAGCTCGTGGGACTTGAGTCTCTCCCTGAACTGCGGGCTGCCCAGGTAGCAGTCGCTGAACTCCAGAGCAGGTAGTCCCATCTTCTTCTTCTTCTTCTACACAACCTGGACGACCCGGCAAAACGCTCCGAACAGGAGGAGGAGGAGGAGGAACAAGAGGAGGAGGAGGGTGGAGACCCTGAGCTACTACTGCTGGGGCTACTGCTGCTGCAAATGATGGAAAATCCAATTACAACATGTAAACAACGGGGCGGAGATGTGTCCGACAGCAATGGCTGGCTACATAACCTTGCTTTTCTTTAAAAGCAAATACTCAAGTTGACACAAGCAGGAGCCCTCCTATTTCTTTCAGGATGGCAGCAGCAGCAGTCCGACACGGCATTCAATTAAAATGAAATAAAAAGTCACAGCAGAGTTCGTGTTTGGTTGGAGGGAAGAAAATAAATAAAAACACTTGCTCAGGTAAACCGGTGCTGCAGTCTTCTCGACCAACTCATGGTGGACCAGACAGAGTCAACCCGGGGCGAGGAGGGAGGGGAGGCGGCGAAAATAAAACCAAAAGTAGCTTCGTTAGTGTGGTGTCTTCCCTGGGCGGTTTTAAATGCACTGCTCTCCTCACACGGCCCCGCTCAGCTCAGCGCTGCAGACCGTAGTCAACCTACCCGGACGCGGATCATCCCCTGATAGACGTCTCTCTCGGCCAATGTAATGGCCGGATTTTAGAGTTTTGGCGTGCGGCGAGCTACTCCAGAACGGAGACAAAGAAGTAAAAAAAAAAGCGAAGAGGCTTCACTCTGATCGTGTTTCTAGAAACGTTGTTCCTGGAAAGAGTTTGGGGCTGCTGCATCCTTCAAAGTTTGCGTTTACAATTAATCCTCCACCTATTCCAAGTGTTCCTCCAAATGAGAAATGAAGCTTAACCTTCTTTAGCTAAAATTGCTACAGTTACAATGCAAAAGTGCAAATGTGGCTGAATTTCATTAGTTTGTGGTATTTGGTCCTAAAAGATTGGGCAGCGTTTAGACCTGAAGATGGTGCTGGATGAAAAGTTAAGAGATCAACAAAGTCATTAGAATTCATCCTCTAGGAAACTTGATAAAATGTTTTTCTAATGGCACTAGAGGTAAAGAAAGAGGACCAACAAAGTCAGAGGGATTCATCCTCTGGGCACCATGAATTTTCTGCACACGGATATTCTAAAGATATGCAGGTTGTACAGAAGTGATGGACTGACCGACAGACCAACACTGGTCAAATCTGACTGTTCTATCATATGGCATGTTGCAATTATGTGGTATGCATAATAGCCCACTAGGCCACCGGGGGTCAAATTGAATCAAGGAAACATCGGACAAATCTTCCACAGCTCTCATTCTCCCAGAATCTAAATTGTGCACAAGTCTGGTGCATTCGGGTAATCCTTATCAATTTGTAAATACTATAAATAATATTGCGAAGTGTTTGCATTCAGGTAGTCACCTATCACTGATGAGCCAAACCACAGCAAGAATCAGGACCCTATATCGGCTTTTACAACCCTTTGCTTTTAGCAGAGAGAGTAATAACCTATAATGTCAATTCCAAACAAATACTTTAGATAAATACAAGCAGATCACACATTTGTGCAGATTTGTCTGCAATCTGGGGTGAGTGGAAGTTGAATAATCAAGGAAGTTAATATGCCCAGTTTAAGAATTTAGTATAATTTCATAATTTATGTAAAATAATAGTTTAACATTTGGAAATTTGGGATTTCAAAACGGGGATTCCCGTCCGTAGCAGCACAGTTAAAAAGGTATAGCAGCAGAGGGCGTGCAGTGCTGTCTTCCCATGCATACACGATCTGTGCATGCTGCGGGCCGGGAGCCTGGCTGGTGGGAGGAGACGCTGATGTCATTTCAGCCGGAGCGGGGAATTTCTGCGCAGCGTTTCAGACTCGGATTAAAGCTGGCTCCGCTCTCTGGGGCCCTCTCTAGGCGCAACACTTCACTGCAGCAGCTTTTTTCTTACCGTGTCAACTTGTATTAACTTCTTTCTCTATAAACTTATCATGGTTATTATTTGTTTTATTAAAAAAATACTATTTTGACTAGTGATGAGAGAAGAAAGCCCATTCACTTATGTTTTTTTACCCTTTACTTGCTTTACACTAGTTTACATTTAAAATGACACAATTCGATTTTTTTTTTACATTACATGCATGTTATTTATGCAAAGTTTGTGTTTGTGGTTACTGTTTTAAAAAAACAGCTCAGATTTAGGCACGCTATACTTCCTCTGGCAAAGCACAGCGTCTGGTCGCCTGCTCATTCCTCCATCTGTCACAGTGTGGTGTACAGAGACAGACATTTACAGGAAGTCATGGCCTGTTGTTGTTTGTGTGTGAAGTCTAAGATGCTGGAGGCTAGCTCAAGAAGCAGAAACAACCAGTTTATAGTTGGGTCATGGAAAGAGAAATATTACATCAACTATCATTGTTAAAAAGTGATAGTTGGTCTTACAAAATCACTGATAACATTGCTAAAATATAACATTATGAAGCACTTCAAAGAATAGCATCCTAAATTAAATTAAAATAAAAGTTGCATTGTGTTATCATTCATCTGAAACAGAACACAGGATGCTTGAAAACTTAACTTGTTGTAACTTGTGTATAAACATCCCTTTTTTCATGAGAATCATGAAATTGGTGTTACCTCAAAAGAACATGTCAAATTCCTGTTCAGTATCCCACACTCTAGTCGTCCTTCTGTGAGCTCATATTAAGAAATCATTTCCATTCACATTAGAATCACTGGATGTATTTGAAGGCCGTGGCTTTAATCAACATCACTGCTAAGATGATTTATGGCCGTCAAGATGCTGTTAATTACATTTTACTTGTCCCTCTCTAATTTCATCCGCTGCATCAACCTCTCCTTCAGAAAGCTTCCTGTTTAGAGATCAGTAACATAATTAACAACAGCTAAAAATATGCATCCATATTTCCATTTCCTCTTTAGAAACATGAAGCAAATGACATTTGACAGGTCGTGTTCATCAGCCCTTAACAACTCCAATAATGTCTTTAAGTTTCATCTTAGGTCAGTGTTACAAGAAATCTGTCAAATTTTCAAACAATCTCATGTTTACTGTAGCAAGATATATTCTGTCTGTTCCAGAGCACTTTGTAAGGTATTTATTCATCATTATATGAAATGGGGAGAAAAAAAAATATGCCTGCATTTTCCATCGTTTTGCTCGGAATTCAGACCGACACATCGAGGAAACCTCAGGATCTAGAATCTAAAATATAGATCTGCAGCCTTAAATCAACTGCGCTGGTGGGTCTGCTGTGGTTCAAGCGGTTCCCTTTTATTCTGACAAGGTATCCATCCATGGTTATGACACTAATCGCTCTCCTCTTCATAGTCTTGTTTCATTTTTTTCTAAAGTTCTCCGTCACCTCCAGCCAGTATTTCCTTACTTTATCTCCCCTTTTCTTCCCACAGGAGGACAGCGATGCCAGACACAGCCACTTGTGTCATTTTCTCAGCCAGAAGTGCTTCCTCTCTGGTGAGTCAGAGGATGTCCTTCTGCCAAAAGCATAAAGACGGCCAGAGTCCATTGGCGGTGGTAAAAAACAGGACACTGGTACTGTCTAGAGATCTAAATTTTATATGACTTTTTATGACTTTTTCTGAAATACTATATATATATATACACTATGCTATACTATGGATGACAAACTTTTCTATGACTTTCTTGTGAATTTGTTTTACATACTACAGTATTCATTTTTTGTGACTTTTTTTCGACATACTATACTAATTTGTTCCCGTTATGCTGTTCAGAGTCCTCTGCGGACAGCAGGGAGCTAACTCTATTGAGGGAAGTTGCGCTGACTTGCATCATCACTCGTCAAGCTCAGTAAGAATGAGTATTCGGAAAAGCTATCATGATGTGTAAAATAGAATCTAAGCGTATTTTTTGGAAGAAACTTGAATAAAGACAATTGTTTCAGGGAGATGTTTTCACATCAATATTAAATAGGCATTAGAAGAAATAATGAGCTTGGAAGGAAGGAATAATGAGCTAATGCATTATCTATGATTTCTTTATGACTTCGTTTTTTGACATTTTTCATGACTTCTTCATTGAAGCTGCTATATCAACATTTCAATAACAACAATGGATCGATGTGTGTGTGTGAAAGGGCTCACTTATATGCCACAGAGAGTTAGCACAGCGCTGCAGTTCCCCTCAGCTCTGATGAAACATGACCAGAAGAACATAAAGAAGAGTGATTATCTGTGTGCTTGTGTATACAGCATACTCTAAATGTGTTTTTCACCTTAATAGTGAGGGTATGTCTCACAGCTCTCCAACAAATGTGAAAGAACAACAGACCCTCTTCACATATTGTGTAAAGGGAACCATAGCCAATTAAAGTGCCACTTTGTTTTACACTTTACTCAGTTGTTACGATAGTTTGTGGTAAGGTTTCATGTTGTGTGGTATGATAACAGGTAGCCAAACTGACTTTTTATGGTGACAGTTGACCTATTCTGCCATCTCCTGGTTCATAGAGGTAAAGCAGCTATTTCCAAAAGGCCTCCGAAGCTCAGTGCTGAACAGGTGAGAGAAAAGTAGGTCAGGCTCGTTCACTTTTTCGTAGTGTAGTCACTCTTTTTTTCCTTCTCATTCTCTACGTAGTCTTGCATCTCTTACAACTAGAAAATATGTTAAAGCTCCCGTTTGCTCACTTCTTTTGGGGCCCCAGTTACAAAACTGGAATCCGAGTGCCAGAGTGCCACCTTAAAAAAAACCAAAAAAAAAACCCATAGAAAACTGATTTTGCCTTTTGTTTATGGAGTATTTAATCAAAAATCGAACACAATCTTCCCCTACCATATCACGAATCCCAAGAATGTACCCGCATTAATGCTGTCTTATTTATTGTCAAATGTATTTTTATTTGAAGTTGGACATATTTGAACTTTCCAGGAATGCAATGCAACTCCAGTAATCCTGAAATGTGTCCTAACTATCCTTTGAGCTGTCACCACTGGGCTGAGAATCTAAGCAGAGACCGGGCTCCGACAGCAGAGGTACTGGCATTATGTAAGATTAATTGTGGAAACTGAAGTCATCGTCTTTGTGTCTTTTATAAATGTTTATATTGTGTCTCCAGGAGGACACCACTATAAGAATGTATCAGTGCTCAGTCAGACAGGCAGCCCTGCTCATTTCCAGGCTCTGGCTGGATCCCATGGCCTGGACACTTGCGTCACTCGGTATCAGTCGCTCTCTATTCTAGTGCGGTAATTTTAGTCCTGACGTTGGCCTGTTAAAATGAGATCCTCTGACGTTGTCAGAAGGGTGGTGAGGTGAGGAGGGGGGTAGGGATAGGGTACAAATACAGACATACACACTTACAACCTCTCTAAAGTCCAGCCACCTCCCCAGAGAAAAGAAGAGGAACGCTTGGGACGGTTTCACTCAAACTTCAATAAAAAAAGAAGACAAGTGGAGGACATGCTGGCTCATCGGGAGCACTGTCACAAGACTTTCTCACAGGTAGGTGCATGACTCACGAGATCAGAGGAGCCTTGTTCTTTGTGTGGGAATCTGGTTTGCAGAAATCTCATCTGCTGATTCACTAATAGCAGATCTTTGATGACAGGAAGGCAAGTTGATACTCATCTGGTTTAAGGTTTGTTTGTGCATGTTAAGTATGGCAGCCAAGCCGGGCACCGTTCAAAATCCATCATGACTTTTAATGACACATCCTTAAGTCAATAAAGTTTTTTTAGTATCTACCCCCAAGCTAAACATACAGACACATTTGATTAATCCGCCCACGCGTCCGCATTCTGAATCGGTCACCGGTTGGCCTTTTGACGTCAATCCCACCAGCAGCTCTGTCCGAAGGTCCCTGCGGACACAAACTAACCTCCCGTAACATAACATTCTTCTTCAGGTCCTGTACTTAGGAAAAACCATCTGGGAGTGGGAAGGCCTTGCATACCTCTTGTGGCTGGCTTTGCACTGCTGTGTCTTTTGCTTTCCTTCTCCCTCTCTCATCCCCCCCCCCCCCCCCCCCTCTGTTTCTTATGCCTGTCCAAGACGTTCCAGATGTGGGCTATAGCACGGCTCTATTCCTCTGGCTACAAATGATAACATCGACCAGAGTTGTACAGTACCAGTGCCCGCTGGGTCCTTCACTGCCTCCCTACCACTTTCTCATTTGACAAGACAGACTTTATGACAGCCACTGCTGCTCTGGGATCTCTACTCTTCAAGATGTAGAGATTACACTGACAATTTGGCTTTGAAATGGGCCTGATTGTTTTCTGGATAAGCTTTTGAGGAAGCAGACAGTCCAAGGGTAAGACAGACAGAGCTGGCTGGATTCTTGTTCCTCTAGCGGACAGATTTAAAGTGCTTGGCAGCTGGAGAATTGTTTGACTGTTAAAATGTAGTCTGCTGAAGCCAGCTGAATGCAGGGTGCTAATACAAAAGGAGGGTCTGCCTCAAACAGTGTGAGGAAAATGGCTCTTGTGTTTCACTTGTGGATTACGACGTTATGTTGCATATCTTTGATAGACTATTGCTGGCACTTGCCACATTTCCAGCAGGGAGTAACACCATTCCTGCAATTTTTCTCTGCCCTTCGCTGTGTCCAGGTGTTGTTTATTTCGTTATCTGGCCTTGCACTGATTTCAGGTGAAAGTTACATCACTGCCATCTGTAAATGATTTTCACGAAGAAAGAACCTACGTGATGCTCAGTCAGAAAACAAGTTTGGTCATGTGGCGGCTTCGCCTGGCCTCCATCCAGATCTGATTCCCTGGCTGGTTTCATCACTGAAACCAGCCAAAAAAAACAAAAAAAAAGAGTTCCTTAAAAGGTTGCCAGAGAGAAACAGACACACAGTGAGAGGGAGAAAGTGGTTGAGGGAGGCCGGTGGAGGCGAGCGTTTCCTGTAATCATATCATGAAGGCGGCGTTGTCCTCCTCTTCCTGTTTTCTCTTGTGTCTCAGACACAGTACAGGTGACATGAACAGTGAACACGATGGATCTCCTCTGTTGTTGCAGACACAGGGACATCACTCTGCTTCGTCCAAGACTCAAACGCTCTGTAGGATGTCTGAGGGAGATGTCACAGTGCTGCCATTTGGGTCTCTGGACCTGTCCAGGCAGGAGCACCGGATACTGACCAGACTGTACAGCCAGAACGGAGGATATCACTTGAGGATTTTACCAGATGGAACTGTGAGTGGTGGCAGGCAGGAAAACGACCCTTATGGTGAGGAAGGAATCTTTTTTTTTTTTGGCACGCGATTGGTTGTTGTATCTCTGAATCAGCAGTAGACTAGAGAGAATCTGTTGGCCACAACTTTATAGAAAATATTAAAATGAAGCTAAGCAGATTCTGTACATGTAACTCATTCCTATTTTGTCCTTTCACACTTATTTGAAACTTTTAACTTATCTGATGAATAAAAGTCATCATCAAAATAATGATAAACAAAAGAGAAGAGGTCAACTTAAAATGTTTCGGTTTGAAGTTATCTCGACAACCTGATAACTGGACCTGAACGAACTGTTAACGGCCTCTTGAGCGAGGTATTTAATCGCAGCACTTCTGGTAAAGCTGCTCAGGTCTGTAAACAGAAGTGCCAAACACATGAACCCTGTGTACACATTCAGATGTCAGGGCCTCCACTCATTGAAATATGCTAAACAAATATTTATTTTAGGAGAAAAATGGCAGCTATACTCTGTCTAAATAATTTTATCTTCCACTTTGGGCTCGGAAAAGGCAACAAAAAAAAAGAGTTATGGTGAACAATGTCATCATTTTGTGTTGCAGACATCCTGAGGCTGAAGGCTGTGAGTGTAGGAGTGGTGGTCATCAAGGGCGAGATGACAGGAAGGTACCTGGCTATGAACAAAAATGGACGCCTCTACGGATCAGTGAGTCTTTGAACAAAATGACTGCCGCTATGGAGTAAACCTGATTTTAAATAGAAACATTAAATATGATCTAATTGTATGGGGAGCCATTTCATTGGGGCTACTTTTGTCAAATCACATAACACTTGTGAACTTCTCCGTGTTTAAATTCAATAATTCCTACTGTTTTGTAATAGTGTAGGTTATTTTCCACAACTGCAGAACACTGGAAAAGGTGTGCCAAAGGGTGACCAGATGTAAAGTTTGAATCATTGTGAGCAATAATTTGTCATTGGGACTATAAAACAACAGAAGAGTTACATAAAACAGATTTATCTTGTAGATTCCTGTCTCTATTATTCAGCAGTTTAAACTGTTAATTCCCTCTACACTATTCTGTTGCTGTGTGTGGTTATCCACACAACCTTTAAAATGACTTTACAGGGAGAACTAGAAGACTTGCAATAAAACCAACTTTCCTCAGCTCTTCACTTTTCTCCCCTCTTTCATGTTCTTGCCACAGCAAACACTAAATGATGAGTGTTACTTCCTGGAGATGTATGAAGAAAACCACCACAACACATATTGCTCCCAGAAGTACAACTGGTATGTTGGGCTGAAGAGGAACGGCCAACCCAAAGCGGGACCAGACACCCACCAGGGTCAGAAGGCCATCTTTTTTCTGCCAAGGCCTGCGGGCAACATGTAAAACAAGACGGTACCAGGAACCGTGGACGCACTCACTGAAGTCTTGTTACGCTGAGAAAAGTATCCCATTTAAAAGGTCGCTTAAAATCAGCACAACAGTGCGGTGAAGCCCGAGCAAACACATAATGCTGTTTTTACAGTTAGTTCGAGCTCCATTTCAATCTTAATAAAACCTTTGTTCATTCCTTATGTTTATGCAGGGGAAATGTGATTCCAGCTCATGTAAGCAGATGATGATGATGTGATCGTCACAGGGATATGAGCTAATACACAGAATACTTTCTGCCTATAAGCACATATACACCCTCTCACTCCAGACAGAAAATGTGTGCGGTATCAGTGCATGTCAGCCTTGATAAATGGGTGTTCACTTTGAAAGCTAGTACGAAATACCACTGCTGGAAGACAGCAACGTGCCACTTTTACACAGAAATAGTTTTACAATTGATCACGTCTGGCACAAAGGAAACCAACAAGGCAGTAAACATAAAAGAGCCGACCATCTGGCATTGAAATCCAACTCAAACTTCACAGTGAAGGGAATGATAGCGTTAATTTAAGTATTTCAGTGCCTTGCCTGACGGTGCGTCTGGACGGATGTTTGTATGGCTGAATATCTAATTAGTAACTATTTTTAATCTTAAGTATGTTTGATGCCCGTCTTAATTAAAAGGTAATTTTATGAAAGTAGACATACCTGCAAAAACACACAAACAAAACATGAAAACAGACTAAACTTTGAAACTGTTGAAAAACAGCACCCATGTTTATGATCGGGTTCACCAAGACAACAGTGAAGCATTCGTATGATTATATTATCATATAGTTATTATGTACCTGGGTGAGCTGACAGTCTCACAGGAAGATGTGAAAACTTGTTGCAGTAATCAGTGAGGTTATTATCGAGTTGTAAGTTGATGAAAGGATGGAACCAAAGAAGAATTTAACATCTTGGTGACACCAAATGCCCGAGTGTGGATTGTTTGAGGTAGAGACGGACGATATAATATTGCACACTGTCCTGGACCACGTTAAGTTTCCCTTTACTAAGCACAACGGCTCAGCTTCCCAGCCCAACACTTTTTTCTGTAAACATATTTCTCTTATAGTTGAAACACATGTTACTGTAACATTATACTAGGTTATATTACAATTGTGAATATTTATTTGTAAAGTTTTATTGCTGATACAATTCTATTTTGCTGAACGTTGTCGTGGACAATTGCAAAATAATAATTTATACATACATAATAAATGAAGAAAGTGGTAGTATGATCACCTTTTATGTAAGTAATACATATTGTATTAAGTGTTCTTAAATGTATGAAATAAAGTCCGCATTATTATGAAAAAAAAAATAAATAGAATGTTTGATTTTCTGTAACAGTGAGTGTTGTTCTAAAACGTGTGAATAAAAGTTGATCAGAATCCGTTTATAGCCAATGTATGTTGCACATACAAGGACTTTGTCATACACATCCCTAAAGGAACATGTTATGTCCAGCGTCCGATACATGTGCTTCTAATGAGCTTGCTGTATGTGTGCGTGTGTGTCTGTTAACATCTGTAGTTTTTAATGAAAAATACTCTCACAGGTGTTTACCAGACACATTCCTCCTCGCCACAAACTTTAGAACCGACAAAGATCGGCCACAAGATGGAAGCATTGCTTTAGTTTCAGTGGTGTTCTCACTCAGGCTGGCAGTGAGGCCTTCAAAAGTTTATTATCGTGACACACATGGGTCTCGCTGAATCCCAGTAAAAATAAATCACGAGTTAAAAAAGGTAAATCTAAGAAACCACAGAGTTGCTACCAATAGCAAGTCTGGGTTATGACAGTTAATGGAGTACACTGTTTCAGCAAAACCTCCATTAATAAATATAGAAAATGTTTTGTAAATGAAAATCATCATGTGAAGTTAATCTTTCAGAATAAACTTAATCTCAATTTTGATCCCTGAATTTTTAAGCATGATTTCTTTTTTTCTTTTTTCTTTTTAATAATTTTTTATTGAAAGACAAGAGACAATATTAGACAATACATAGACATAAAAACAAGAAGATGACAAGAACAGTGGGATAAAAGCTAGCAAACATCATACAGTCAGTGTGTGTGTGTGTGTGTGTGTGTGTGTGTGTGTGTGTGTGTGCATGTGTGTGTGCGTGAGAATGTCCTTGAGCCTTTTGAGATGGAAGGAAAAAAATAATAATAATAATAAAAATACAAACCAAAAAAAAAGAAAAAAGGAAAAAAAAAAAAGGTAAGTATGTGTGCATATGGATGTTCATGTAAGCATGTATGTGGGTTTCAATTGGTCGTCAGGCAAGAAAAACAACAAAACAAAAATCAACAATAGTAATAAATACAAAAAAAATCTATATATACTATACAAATTTTAATATTAATAGGATGGGTGGTGTCACGTTTGCAGAAACATAGTGAGGGATGACCAGGTGGAGTGGTGTTCTGTTGTATTGTATATGATGGACGAGGTTAGGTTTTCCATTGAAATATACTCTATCATTAAGTTTCTCCAGTGTGTGATGTGTGTGTTATTCCTTGATTTCCAGTTCATGAGGATAGTTTTCTTGGCGATAGTTAGGGCCACAAGGAGTAATTTGCGATTTGTTTTACTCAGATGTATAGTTGAGATGTCTCCTAGTAGGCACAGTGAAGGGGATAATGGGACGAGGCAGCCCAGGAAGACAGACAGTGACTCAGTTATTTCTTTCCAAAAGTGATTAACTGGTGTGCAGTGCCAGGTGGCGTGAACATAGCTATCCGGGCTGTTTTGAGTGCAATGTGGACAGATATCTGTAAGCATGATTTCTACAATAAACCTGTTTTTTAATTGAACAAAACTTTAAACGAACAATTACAGTGTCTTAACACAGCAGTCGTGCTGAGTAAAATATAGTATTACATTAACAAAATTGTAATTTACATCAGATCAAAGAAACCAGACCAAGAATCTAACTACGTAACGATTCTTACACAATTTAGGAATTACTTCAGCACTTACAAAATACTGATGTAAGACTCATTCTTTCAAGATTTCAGTCAAGTTAATGTATCTAATGTCCTTTGAGAAATAAACTTGCTGCTTCCCAGCTAAAATGATTGTATGAAGTTATGACGGATGATACCAGTCCAGCGCTGAGAAAGACCTCCATTCACCCCCATCAAGTATTTAACCACATTTTTGGAAGCAATTGCATTCTTCATCTAATCCACACTTAATGTGCAACGGCTGAAACAGAACATTGCCTGAAACGCTGTTACAGAGGCCACTGCGCCAGGAAAATGATCCTGGAGGAAACGCTGGAATTTAGTTTAAGATGTTTGAGAGGACTGGAGCTGATTCATGGCTCCGACAAGTTCCTTATTATTGTGGGATTTAAACTGAGTTGGCAGGGAACATTACTTTAAAATTTTAAATTGAGCAATAGTTCTACATTTTCCAGTTTAAAAAATGACTTTCTAATGATCCATTGTAAATGTCAGATCAGAGCTGGATTATCCTCCTTTCTGTCACATCGTTAGTTTTTCTGATAAAAGTTTATTGACTTCTCCGCTGAAGGTCTAAATTTGACTTTTTCAGATGTCGGTGAAGTATGAGCACCACGTGACTACTTGACCTGCAACTATTACAGTATGACTATTTTGTATATTTTGTCTATCGTGTCTATGTAATTTCTGAGGAAAATATATAACCTTTTACTCCATTATGTTTATTTGGCAGCTACAGTTAAATATGTAAAATACTGTGTAATCCAATGATAACTTACTGTACTAACACAAAGTGAGGGGCCATTCTGCATAATGACTACTTTTTCTTTTGATACCTTTTCGTATGTGTTTGGATAATTTGTCTTTACTGCACTCAGGTGTTTAAATGTAGGACTTGTAAGTAATTTTACAGTGTAGTATTGATACTTATACTTACATTGGATAAAAGGTCTTAGAAGATTTTCCCACAACTGGCCTAAACAGCTTTTAATACCATTATCTTACTATATTTTCATCTTTCCTCTCTTCAGTGGTTACAAACCAACAATTGTAACCCATTGGAAGAAAGAGAAAAGTAAAGCAACCAATGAGAACCTGTATTCATCCTTGGCTTTGCACCTTAATTTGTCGGTGAATTACGTATGTATTTAATATGTCTATTGCACAAAAGAAGTTCCTCATAGAAAATAAAGTATTTTGAATTGAAGAACAAAAAAAAGAGCAATCTCTCTTCTTCAAAAGTATTTGTTCTGCAATAAAACAAACACAAAGAGGTCTGTCTTAGTCGAGAACACTGACCGGACACATGGCTGTTGGTGGACAAATTATTATTATTACGCAACCTCTGACCGCTCATTTACAGGACAGTCTCTCTCCTTCTTCCCACCAAGCTATACAATGAAGCAGCACACACACACACACACACACACACACACACAAACCTGGTTGGCCATTGGCCTGCAGGGCTGTGCAGGGCAGGAAGGGAATCATTCACTGTAAACTGAACAAGGACTGGCTTCCTCTGGGAGTCCCCTAGCCTGACAGCAGCCAAGATCCCTGCAACACAAACCACTCTAGCAAACACACGCAGACACACACACACACACACACACACACACACACACACACACACACACACTCACAGCGTACACACCCTGGATCTGGGACACATTCTCTCATCTGTTACTCCTCTCTCTTTCCTCAATTTCGTCTTTCTTTACGCTCCCTTCCTGCCCGTCTCTCAATTTCCAGCCTCCTTTAACCTCCGTCTCTGTCTTATTGCTTTCTCCTCATCATTTTCTCCCACCACCTGTATATAGACATATATACAGTATCACCCATTTCTCTAACCTATTTTATTTCCGTTTCTCCATTTCTTTTTTCTTCTTCAAAAGGACCGAAATGGAAGCAAGTTATCCTTTACCTTTACTGTGTTACCCTCGATATTTTTCAATAAAAATGTATTTGTGTAGGATCTGATATATACTTTTGATATGTCAAATGAATCAAATCAAATCCTCTCATCTGAGAAGTTTTCTAACTTGGAGTCTTCAAAAGACTCCTATACTTCCTAAAGATTTAGAAAATCCAGTAGTCTCCATTATCTTTCCCAACAAACAATGCTTTAGGATATACAGTGCAATGCTTCCTTAAAGCATACCAAGGCATTTCCAACAGGAGATCCAAAGGCAAAATCTTACCAAAATCTGAATCATTTATTTAGATTAAAAAAAGTCCCTGAACCCCTGTGGTTGCTCTGCTCTGTCCCTCTGCGTTCCTCCTTTGCTCTCATCCTATTCTGGTGGCTTCATCATGAAAACAGAGGTGCTTTGTCAACGTTACGTATGCTATTCCCTTCACCTTTCTCCTTCACACAAGCAACCACTCACACTCACACACACACACACACACACACACACACACACATACACTTACAAACACACAAACATCGACAGGAAAGGAAACAGGGGATGCATATCCGTCAGCTGATCCAACTGGAAATGCTGACACTGGTCTCCCCATCTGCATACTGCTCTCCAAGAGAGACAAGAGGGGAGGACGGGAGAGAGAGGGGGAGAAAATACAGGGACAGAGAAAGCGAGAGGCAGCATTTTGACAAACCAGAGAATTGCCCGGATGCTTGTGGTTGGCCCTACAGCAACTGTTTTCCTGATAGACGTTTTGTGCTGGATAGACACATTTTGCGGGGGCTCCAAACATGCAGCTTTCCCCCCCAGAGTGGGAGCGAATGGCATTTGTACCAATAGGCCCTTTAGGATTTAGCCACAGAATACTAGCAAAGGGAAACCGACATAGTTGTTCCTGTGATGAAGAAGAAGAGGAGCTATTACTGTAAAAAAAGAGAGTCCTGAGGGATTCCTACGTGTCTCTTTGACCTTCTTCACATGGCACTCATTTGGGTCGTCTCTCTGCTATTTCACGGTGGCGTATGATCGGTTTGCAAGCATGTAAGACGAGAGCCGCTGCCCTGTTTTGGCGACACAAAGCAAAACAAACCAATTAGCCAAAAGCAACTGAGCGCTTGTTCAGTGCAGCTTTGGGTATCTAATGTGCTTAGGGGTTGACTTCATCAAAGCTGCCACATCAGATGCTTTACCTGCTCACTGACAGGCAGCGGTGCGCTTGTAACTGGAGTGGATATGCCAGTGGCATGGTAAGGGTCATTTTGTTTCAGCATTTAAACCCTGAATGTTTTGATTTGAGCATGTGTAGACAGGGGCTGCCGAAGTTAGAGGACGAATGTCAAGGACACAAGAAAAGCCTTATTGACTTTCACTACCACCACTAAATATTAGTGTAGGTATAGGCTTAATCTGACAAAACAAGGTGTGTTAATTAATGAGCTCAATAAATGTGCTGATAAGATGTTTTCTTTAAACTTTTGGTCAGAGCCATG